AAAATTCAACAGGCTGTTGTGCATCACAAACTTAACTAAACAATTCATTTTTTACATAGGATGAAAGAGCTGTTATTTAGCTTTTTGCTGCCGAGCGTAGCGATGCAGCACACTATTCTTAACACGCGGTGGTTTCTCCAGAGTCCACTCGACCCAGTCTTTTGCGCAATCTATGTATTGTCGAAATCTCGATCTTGTGTCTGTCGGAACCTATGGTCGGAACAGCTGGGCATTTTGTACGGAGCATGCGCGAAAAAATCAATATGGCGACATATTTATAGGAGTGCTTCGTGGATTTATCTGGTTTTAAAGCTGATAAAACAATATTTCAATGAATAAAAACTTTGTAATATTTAGTGGAAAACATTAAGCTATGCAGTCCAAAGGTTTTAAATTAAAAATAAGTACTTTTGCTTTATTTTATTGCTTTTTATGCTTTCAAAATAGGCAAGCTCATTTTTGTTGTATTGTTGAAAGAATCTAAACTAATATTTTACCCATCATTTGTTTAATCTGAACAGAAATTGATAGAACACTTGGCTACATAAGTTATAAAGGGAATTGGTAGCTGATCTGAAAGATTTCAGTATTCCTGGTACACATTTTAGCAAAGAATGACTGTAATTTTAAATTAAATATGCATATCAAAAACAATAGTTTTTATTAGACCAACACATAATAAGTTGTTATTTTCTATTTTTACAAAAACAAGTTTGGAAACAGAATCTAGTCGTCCAGTTTGATGTCATATTCCATTTATTTGGATATTTGAATAAAGGAATGTGAAATAATAATTGAAACTTGTCCAAAATTTGATACCAACACTCAAGTGAACAGATACTATCACCTAAAAATAAAAGAAAACAGAACTTAAATTTGTCATATAATGCTATGAAAAAGTCTTAGATACTACAGGCATATAGTGAGCACAATGCTTTAACAAACTCACTAAAATAAGTTAAGTTATGCTATGATAAGAAGATGGCAATATATGACAACATCAAATGTTACCATCTTCAGTGTCCAAAAAAAGTGCCGCGCGCATTTTTCCCAGCATACCCACTAACTTTTCCATGAAGGTTGACTAATAAGGATAGTTTTAAGCCATTTTTCGGAGAGAGGCAATGGTAAAAATTTTAAGATATTTTTATTTATATGCCATATCACCACAGAATTTCACAAAGCAAGCATGCCTATATTCAGGATTGCCGTTAGACTCTTAAAACTGAACAAATCAATGCGGCATTTCCTATCTCATAACAACCAATACTTGAACATTTTCAAAAGCATTTTTGCAGCAATTTTTACTTTATAACAAACCAATACAGGAGCAATTTCATAAGCATGTGACAACATGACATTTTCACTTCACAAGTGGATTTGTCAATTACAACATCTAGCACATTTTTCCCATGAATAGCTCAGGTTTTAATAAAACAAAGTATGATTTAACTTTCATAAAATATATTTTCTAACTGAAGGCAACGGCCAGTTTCTACGAAATTGCAAGAGGAATATGTGTCATTTTCATCAAAATATGTATTTTAAGACACTTATTATTCCAGATGAGGAAGGACAAACAAATTATTGAACATACCTGTGGAAACAACAACACCTCAGCTTCTATCAAGAGCAAAATATGAACACTTCCTTGTTTCCATACTGCTGTACCCTGCTTCTGAAACTCTGACAATGAGTGAAACATTTCCACTTGTCGCCCATTTGTAAATAAAAATTCTTCGCACGTTTTCATGTGATTAAGTCGTTATATCGTTGCGTACAAGCACTACAACTTAATCTTTCAAGAAACACTTTATTTTCCATTAACAAACCAGTAAAAGAGGACAAAAAATCCTCTCACAATGCCTATTTTCAGCGTTCGAAGAATCAAAATGTTTGTTAAAGAAATGCGGCCGCAATATTTAGACAGCGACAACAGAATGCCCAGCTGTTGAACAGGGTGGACTTTCGTCGACGCTGCATAAAAATAGTGCGGGCTCGTGAGCTTTTTCCCGCAAATTTTGCTTTTCGATGTTTTGCTTACAAGTTCTAAGGATTTTGAAGTTTACAGCATTGTGATTCACTGGTTTTTGAAAGCATCTTTGCTTTTTTTTGTTGGAAGTTATATACTAACTCTTCAACAACCTAATGACTGTTTTTAAAGCAAAGAAATTGAAGGGAAAACTTGTATTTTCATACGAAGAAGATGAGTGGCAATATTTATGTTGGACTGTTTTGAGCAGATGCTTCGAAGAACATGATATAATCGGACCTTGTATCCGAAAAGTGTACTTGGAACAGCCGAACAAAGTGGTAAATTTTGTTACCCGGTGTGTCGGGCATCATAATTCACAGGAATAGTGCTCACCGGCGTTTAAACTGGCTATAAAATATCCTGATTACTTCGTCGAGTTCTCTACCGCCATGTGACCTGTAGTTTAATGTGGCAGGCGTCTTTGAAAGGGATTTACTTGACTTTAATCGACGTGTAAGGTATAACTTAGGTAAGCCAACATTTCTTTGTAATGCAAGCTACATTTTCATATCTTTAATGTGTGAATATTTTTAATTTTGTAAAAAATTAAGCCCAATATGTTGTTGGAAAAAATATCGAGTGCTTGATAATAACGCTCAGATCTTGTATACAGATATTCGGATTTTATTCAAAATCTACCCTTTATCACCACTTTTTTTATTCTTTTATGTTAAAGTATACATAATCCTTGACTTAAAAACACGATGATCTACTCGAGGAAAATTGGGCAAAGGGGCGATCTTTGCATAGAAACTTGGCAGTTCGGTGAAATTGGTAGTTCAGAGACCCTATTTTCATTGTAGTATTTCGTGGCAATTTCGGCTGTCGATTTCTAGTTTATATTGTAGAACGGGTTCCTAGTGAATTAAATTAATTGTCTATCCTCTACAGAGTAGTAATAAGCGCGACTCCTTTTTGTTGACGGATGTTGAATTCATTTTAGACTTTTGTTCACAAACAACAACTACACTACCGAGTACTAAATCACTGTTTGCAAAGAAATGAGCCTATATCACCACAAAAATTCCAACTTATTTTTAGAGTCAAATAGTTTCTTCATGGATAAAAGTAGTTTTTATAGAGTGAAAAATAGGGCAAGTACGAATTTAAAGAAGGTCAATTTGCACTTGTATATCTCACTTCGAAAAGGATATACGTATTAAAAACAGGTATATTTGCAATGCGCAATTAAACTGTTGCAACAAAGTTTTTCTTTCTACTTTCACGGTCTTATTCCAAAGCAAACACTTCTAAATTGGAAATGACTAAAATTGTGAGCGTAGAAACGCTAAAGAAACAAGAAAACGACTTCATAACACGAGTAGTTTTGGCAAATTTGATGTTTGTTTTTATAATTCAGTCACGCGATTAACCCGCGCTCACGTGCACTCCACGCTTACGTTTCTCGCGCATGCGTAGACGAAAGTCCACCCTGTTCAGCTGTTGAACAGGGTGGACTTTTGTCGACGCTGCATAAAAATAGTGCGGGCTCGTGAGCTTTTTCCCGCGAATTTTGCTTTTCGATGTTTGACTTACAATTTCCAAGGATGTTGGAGTTTACAGCACTGTGATTCACTGGTTTTTGAAAGGAATGGCGTAATCTTTGTTGGAAGTTATATACTAACTCTTCAACAACCTAGTGACTGTTTTTAAAGCAAAACAATTGAAAGGAAAACTTATATTTTCACACGAAGAAGATGAGTGGCGACATTTATGTTGTACTGTTTTGAGCAGATGCTTCGAAGAACATGATATGATCGGACCTTGTATCTTAAAAGTGTACTTGGAACAGCCGGACAAAGTGGTAAATTGTGTTACCCGGTGTGTTGGGCATCATAATTCACAGGAATAGTACACAGTGGCGTTTAAACTGGCTATGAAATATCCTGAATACTTCGTCGAGTTCTCTACCGCCATGTGACCTGTAGTTTAATGTGACACGCGTCTTTGAAAGGGCTTTACTTGTCTTTAATCGACGTGTAAGGTATAACTTAGGTAAGCCAACATTTCTTTGTAATTCAAGCTACATTTTCATATCTTTTAATGTGTGAATATTTTTAATTTTGTAAAAATATAAGCGCAATATGTTGTTGGAGAAAGTATCGAGTGCTTCATAATAACGCTCAGATCTTGCATACAGATATTCGTATTTTATTCAAAATCTACCCTTTATCACCACTTTTTTTATTCTTTTATGTTAAAATATACATAATCCTTGACTTAAAAACACGATGATCTACTCGAGGAAAATTGGGCAAAGGGGCGATCTTTGCAGAGAAACTTGACCGTTCGGTGAAATTGGTAGTTCAGAGACCCTATTTTCATTGTAGTATTTCGTGACAATTTGTTGGCCGATTTCTAGTTTATATTGTAGAACGGGTTCCTAGTGAATTAAATTAATTGTCTATCCTCTACAGAGTAGTAATAAGCGCGACTCCTTTTTGTTGACGGATGTTGAATTCATTTTAGACTTCTGTTCATAAACAACAACTACACTACCGAGTACTAAATCACTGTTTGCAAAGAAATGAGCCTATATCACCACAAAAATTCAAGCTTATTTTTAGAGTCAAATAGTTTCTCCATGGATAAAAGTAGTTGTTATAGAGTGAAAAATAGGGCAAGTACGAATTTAAAGAATGTCAATTTGCACTTGTATATCTCACTTCGAAAGGATATACGTATTAAAAACAGGTATATTTGCACTGCGAAATTAAACTGCTGCAACAAAGTTTTTATTTCTACTTTCACGTTCTTATTCCAAAGCAAACACTTCTAAGTTGGAAATGCCTAAAATTGTAAGCGTAGAAATACTAAAGAAACAAGAAAACGACTTCACAACACGAGTAGTTTTTGCAAATTTGATGTTTGTTTTTATAATTCAGTCACGCGATTAACCCGCGCTCACGTGCACTCCACGCTTACGTTTCTCGCGCATGCGTAGACGGAAGTCCACCCTGTTCAGGGTCGGCGTTAGATCATATAGCGTTAACGTACGTACAGTGACGTCAAAATTCTTAAGACCGGAAGTTGCTAGATTTAGATTTTTTTCCAAAATGACGTCAGAGGTTACATATTATTGCGGGAAGTTAATTGCGCGAAAATTTAAAAACAACAATGGAGGACGCTTCAAGTGAATGCGAAGGACAGTTTTTGTTTCTTTCGAGGGATGAATTGTTTAATGCTTTTGAAGATTTTAAGAAAGATACTTGCACTGGATGGCGTTGCGTCTTTAAAGACTCAAAATTTGGTAAGTTTGGTAAACTGTTCAATAATTCATAACATGCAAATGAGAATAGACCATATTAATATACGGTACTACGGTAGCGACCAAATTTATACGAATAGTGTGTGGATCTATTAACAAACACATCATTTGACAGCAGTAGATCGACGGAATTCCCTCATAATTTACATTTAGACACTGCAATGTAGGTCAATCATACTTTCACACACATGTTTGAATACAGGCTTAACAGTCAATTTGATATAATCACCAAAGTTATAGTCTGTTAACTTTGTACTGTTTTGTACTATAACATGATAATATGACCTTTTTATATGGATGGATTTTAATATAGAGATGGATGTGAAGAAACTTATCGAAGAGGCAAAGAATGCATCCAGAATAAAGTGGTCAGTATCTGCCATGAACGATGGGATATGCAGTAAATTTGATGGGATTCCTATTCTGTCAGCTGGGACAATGCAATTTCACTGCCACCAAGGTGTTGATATAGACTTACCACAAAAAATAAAAGAAAACAAATTAAGGATGACAAGGTATATTATATGAAATACATTCTATTTATTTTTATACATACAAACTTAAATAATACTTTGATTACCGTAAACTCCCTATATTAAGCCCCCTGGGGCTTATTCTATTCAGGTCCTTTTGAGGGGGGCTTATTAGAGGGGGGGGGGGCTTATTTAGTTACCAACAAAATCTTAGATGATTTTCTGCAAAAACCAAACAAAGTCCACGTTTAACAATTATATTATAACGTGTTTATAGTACGTATTATAACGTATTGTTATTTGTATGTATAATGTATTACAGTAGTCCCCGCCAACTCGAACTCGCTTAACTTGAACTCCCCGCTAACTCGAACTAAATCCAATTTCTCTTGGATATGTTTTTATAGTAATTTACTCCACTTAACTCAAACTCCTCGCTAACTCAAACAAATTTTGTTTTCCCTTGGGAGTTAGAGTTAGAGTTAGAGGGGGACTACTGTATATCCATATGAAATTGGATATTTTGGAGCCAAAAATGAAAAATGAATGTAAATGTGGGGGGGGGGGCTTAATGAATTTCTTCCTCTTAAAGAGGGGCTTATTAGAGAGGGGACTGATTTGAGAGGCAGGCTAAATAGAGAGTTTACTTTATATACAATAATATGATTTTATTTCAGAAATTTGACCATGTGTTTGTAAGGAGGAGAACCTTGATACAGCCAACAAAAAAGTTGGGGTGTCCAAGCAAAGTTTACATTTCACGGTTCCTGAGGTTCCCTGATTACAAGGTATTGTACATTGTACATGAGAGGTAATACCCACTAAAACAAACAAAAGAAATGTGTTATATAAAAGTAATTTACATTGTTTTAAGTGGTTTTAAGTGGTTCTGTATCTACTACATACAGTTATTGTACAGGCATTTTTATTTGGTTAAATTATAGGTACAATATGACCCAAATGGAAGCAAACCTGACAGACAGATGAGGTCAATGTCTTCTTCACTGAAAACAGACATCAAAAGTGAGAAGGACCTAAAAATCGTAGAGGAATTTGTCTTAAAGCTACCAGCAAACAATTCTCATATGTACCATGTCATTGAAGGAGAGGTACAGTAACTACAGTTTATCTATTTATATATTTTTTCTATAAGGATCTGGTATTTCAAGAAAAAACTATTATTACACTAACTTTTTTCTACTTTGATTATATGTCCATTTTTCACCTTAGGGAGCTAATCTTCGTGAGCCAATCGATGTACAAGTGGTTGAGAAAATAAAAGAACTTCATCGAATTGGTGTAAAGACGGTAGAAGAAGTCAAAAGACACTTGAATAATTATGTTGTGAACACATTATTTGCAGGAAAAGAGCCACCATCTCAAGCCCGAAGAAGATATTTTCCAACTACCAACGATATCCGTAACATTTTAAATGCCCAACGCTCTGGTGACCGCAAAGCAACTGATGATCAAGAGAATCTTTGCCTTAAGTGTGAAAAATGGCAACAAGAAAATCCTAAGGACTCTATATTTTTTAGGGTAATTAAACTAGATAATCACTACTCCAGTTTTAATTTTTAGGCAGATTGCATGAATCAAATAGACCAAATATTAATGTATCACTCACTCTGTGGTCAATATTCCGAAAACCAAAATTTGTACTTTTTCAAAGGCATCGACCAAAGACAAGGAAAAATTCTTATTTGTCTACCAATCTGCCTGGATGAAAAGACTACTGTTACTATATGGCCAAGAACTGTGTTTGTTGGATGCCACTTACCGAGTTTGCAGGTAACAGAGTACAGCATGCCTTTATACAGAGCCATCAGTACTGCACCAAACGTTTGGCTGTCTGGAATGATATGTTGTTATGATTAAGTTGCATAAATTAAACTTTGATTTCCAGGTATGCTGTTCCACTCTTCTTTATCTGTGTTCGAGCAAATACTGGCTACATTGTGGTGGCAGTGTTCATACCAGAAAATGAAGACATCGATTCTTTGGTGGAAGCACTGGAACTGATCAAGGGATTCAATCCTGACTGGAAACCAAATAACTTCTTAGTTGATTTCTCCTTAGCTGAAATTGGAGCCATAGAAAAAACATTTTCAAGTGAGTAAAGATTTCACCCTGGGATAAATATGGACCATTAGTTAAAAGTATGCTGAAGTTGTTAACATGATACAGTAACAACTAAATGGTACAACAGATATATATGGCAATGTACTGAATGCACCAGCCATTATATGAAGGTACTAAATAAGTGCAAAATTATCATTGTCAAGTTGGAAACGAATTAGAAAGAACCCACGTTGTATGTTTTTAGAATGTCGCATCCACCTGTGTGATTTTCATAGAGAAAAAGCCTGGAATGAATGGCTATCAAAGATCGACCATGGCATGTCTACTCGTAAAGATGAAGTTTTGGGTTATCTACGGAGCATAGCCAGCAGTGCCAGTAAGCTTGATCTGGAGAAAAACACTCTAGCATTTAAAAGCAGTGAAGTATGGAAAAATTCTCCTACCCTACAGAAGTACTACACTGAACACTGGGAAACACATAAAGAGGTACATAATGATGTACTTCACATTTAAAGTACTCACTTGTTTAAAGATAAAAACATTGATATATTTTTAAAGAGTGCTTATATTACCGTACCCTGTAAAAAACAAACTTGAGAGAAATTTCCAATCATCGGTCCATTTAACAACTAAAATTATATTTCAGAAATGGGTGAGGTTCTACCGTGCTACTGCCTTACGTGTTGCAATATACACTAATAACGGAATAGAGCGACAAAACAACTGGCTGAAGTCATCTTATCTTGAGAGGAAAAGAAACAGCACCATAGCAGAACTGGTGGATGTCTTGCTCACACAATTTCTTCCTGATAGTTACAACAAGTAAGACATCTTCAGTAATGTATATACTCTATAGTATACAATGTACTGTATTTTCCCCAGTGATTTATCATCTGTGTAGCCGACTGCACAACGTCAACCTATTTGTTTACCTGCAGAAATTGCATTTAAATCTTTGTTTATCACTGTTCACAGATACAAACAACTTAATCTTCGGTCATCAGAAATGTACAGGAAGTATGACAGCAAAGTTCCAGAGTTTTTGCATAACCGTCCAAACGGAATTGTTAGACATATCATGAAAAGAATGTATCCAGAGTATCCAAGCAGTTATGTTCAAAATTGTGGACACAAGCTATTCATGGTGAATAGTGAAACATCTGACACAAGATACCAAGTGTGGCTTGGCTCAGATATCCAACTTCCAAGCTGTCAATGTGTCGATTACAGGATAAACAGGCTCCCTTGTAAACATATTTGTGCAGTGGTCAATCTTCCAGATGTTGGATGGCAGTCTCTTGGGGCAAGTTTCAATAACTACCCACTTTTTAAATTGGATTCTACTGTGGTAACATACAATTCATCTGCTCAGTCATCAACTATCCAAAACAACAGTGCCACTAAAGAGAATGATGCCAGCAAAGACGATGATGCTAGCAAAGGAAATGATGACAACGATGGTGCTTTTGTTGACCAAGCAGAAAACATCAAAACAGCAACATCACCAGAAAAACTACAAAAGAAAAATGATGTTCAATACAAAGGACTGAAAGCAAGGAAGCAAGGACTGAAAGTAAATGCTAGAGCGAAATGCATTTCAACACTAAAAGCACTGAATGATGAGCTATATATAGTGCAAAACACCAAAGTATTGTCCAAGCTGCAGTCATTGATGCAAGAAGCACTAACTTATGCACGGGCTAACCATCCTGATGAGAACAACATTCCTTTAAAGGATAAAACACTCTCTCCAATTAAGCGTGCCAAGAAAAGGAAAGTTAGTCAGCTGAGTGGCAAAAAACCATCGTTACCCTTGCAAGCTAAGAGAAGAAAAAAGAAGCGCTTTGGTTTTGGTGCAGAGAACCGAGAAAAATCAGCTGATCTCACCATCACATCAAATGGTTCTGTCAAGAACAAAGAAAATAAAAGAGAGAAACCTGTTGTCATTGATTTGACCACTCTCGAGAATTATGAACAGTCGAATGCCAAAGCACAACCGTGGTTAACTGTGCAAGGAATTAATCTAACAGAAGAATTACGAGAAATTCTGATGAATGAAAAGGAATGGCTTTCAGATGAACATGTGGATGCAGCTCAACGGTTACTAAAGTCAGAGAACCTTGGTGTTGGTGGCCTGAATGATATTGTTGTGATGACTCACTTCAAAAAAACAAGAGTCGACTTTGCAACTGCAGATGGTAGGACTATTCAATGCCATAACATTGGAGGCCATTGGGTGGTATCGACATCTGTCCATGGTAGGGTTACTGTGTATGAGAGCTTGTACACTGGGCTCAACAAAACGTTACTGCAACAACTTGCGTATCTGTACCAAAACGTTTGTGTCGAGGGACAACTTACAGTGACTGTTGTTTTACAACAACTTCAGAAAGGCCTTTCTGATTGTGGCCTATTTTGTCTAGCAAATGCCACAGCACTTACCCAAGGAGTGAATCCAACTTATGTTACGTGGGATCAAAGTAAAATGAGAGAACATCTTGCAGAATGTTATAAAAATAATCGAATGAAAGTGTTTCCTCATCTACCTAATTGGCAAGGTGGTAAGCAAACTAAAGTCTACAAACTGAAACTCTTGGGTAAATAATAGAATAGTTGACATAAGTCAGCCTCACAGCCTGCATTGTTCTATTGGTGTATAACTGTATATATTGACGTATATTATATGTATATTTCTAAAATTCATAATAATTCATAAGCAAACTACAAAGGAATTTCATGACCCGTAGCGAATCTATATCATAGTATATACAGTAGACTCGCTTAAAATTTCTCCTTTAATTTTTATGGCGTAGATAACACCAATATTCAAAATTCCAACGCCAGTATAAAGTGTACAAAATCAGTCATTTTAGAAGTCATATACAAACCTTGCAGTTCGGTCTTTATCTAAAACCTTCGGCTTCACTGCTTTATAATTACACTCTTGAATTTGATAACAATATAAATTGTATCACTGTAAAATACCTAACGGATTAACTGAATTAAAATTTGTGACATACCTCTCTCCAATTATCGTAAACAGCAAGTGATATCATTACAAAACCGTCTTCAGATCGAGTAAAGTATATAACAGAAGTGTATCTTCAGTTATATCTCTAAATGTGGCGAAATCTAGAGTTTAAAGATTGCGTTTAAACTAAATAATACGATATAAACCTGAGGATATAATCTTCTTATCGCGCCTGCTGCTTGAAGTCCTTGAATTTAAATCCCTGTGACTCGTGTAAGTTTACACTTCTGGCACAGTACTTCCGGTCTTAAGAATTTTGACGTCACTGTACGTTAACGCTATATGATCTAACGCCGACCCTCGGCCACCCACTCAACACACTGGGCTGTATAATAACTGAGACTTGCCCTATCCACTGAGCTATACTATATTACTGGAGGACGTGCTCGGCATCAAAAAGTGTCCGCAAAAACATGGCGGATTTCGGCCTTTGCTGACGCCAGAATGACGCCATATGGTTCCTCCGGCTCATGGTAATTACCACTGACCAGGCTCAATTTTGAGCCTGCTACGACTTTCACACCCCCTGGTTCTTATTAAAATATTTTTGCTTGCTGAAGTTTTGCAGTATATTCTCATAGTTTTTTATTTTTTCATATTTTTTGTACCTTTCACCACTGGTTCAAATGTGTGCAAGTCGTGCACATTATATTCTCGTCCTCAAAAGACAGAAAACCTCGAAATACTTCCGCAAAAACGATATTCAAAGCCGCAACTACAGGTAAAATATTTCTCAGTTCATAACTTCACACACTGAGTCACACTCGAGCGAATTTTCTACAAAAATTGTTGGGTTTAACTGTGGTACAATGTATTATATTTTAGCTACAAGTATGTAAAGGTCTCTAAAGCCTTGTTGTACAAAGTAATAAACTTTCGTTTCATTTAAATCGTGAGCAAAATGGTATTTTGATCTATTGTTTACATGCTCTATTTGTTGCAATATTTTATGATGTTTTGAATAAGCCTGCAGTTTGTATTTCATGACACTATTTTGAAAATTTATAATTTTCTGTAGGTGGCAAGAAACTGTGCATTTTACAAATATCAAATTATCTTAATTTGACCCTGGGGACTGATTTTATGACATGAAAGTACAGTATAATGTGAGCAGTACCACTATATTTTGAGGGAATAACAAAGAGAATTTATAGTATTTTATATTTTGTACTAATTTATATGCAAAAGCTAGAGGTACTCAAGGAAGCTTATTCTGCTGTCGGAGTACCTTAAGGAGTTTTGAATCACTGTGATTGTAGTTCTTGGGTGGGGGTTCGAACTAGTTAGTGTAGGATGATGCAATTGTAGCTAAACCTAAGACAAATATTAACCTCGACGTTTCAGCCGAATATCTTGGGGCCTTTATATTAGTTCATATTTTTTAGGTTTTGGTGTAAATACACATAGGATTATGGTTTCTGTAACTTGTGAGTCACTCAACTTGCCAACAAATTAAGTTCAAGCATCGTCTGAAAACCTAGTATATTTCTTTTGTATTCGTCATTTTCCCTTGATATGGTTTCTCATGCTTTTTCTCTTTTAGAATAACCTATATAATCTATTCTTGTTTATTGCAAAAGTATCTACCACAACGATGCAGTTGAAATTGTATTATTTTAATTTAAATTCTTCAATGAATAATTATTAACTACCAATCAACAATGAGTCATTCCAGAAAAGATAAACACTAACCCCACAGAAGGAAATGGTGCTGTCTGAAGTGGTCAGAACTCAACTGCTGATAATAGTAAAAGTATTAGCTAAGGTGTTCAAAAGTCGGAGGAAGCTGAACCTCCCATCTCTTCCATTAGGGGTGTGGATATTTTCTTGAATGACCCAATCAGTTCGAACTAACTGTATAATCAAGTTATTCTAGTATAATTATCACTTTGTAGTCCCATGAACAGCTCATGAGCTGTGACATCACTTTGGCTTATCTCTTTTCAATTTTCTTTTGGTAGCAATTGTTAATAGTCACTTATGCTGCATGCTAATTAGGTTTTATTATTATAATTATAAGGAACATGTTTGTGCTATATGCAAATTATCTCTAGGTATTATATAAGGACCTTGCTTGTAAATAGATCATTTATGTTATTAAACTCATACACAACTTAACATGGTGGCAGCGGTGGGATGATTATGCAAGAAGGAAAACCAGTTTGTTTTACGTCACACACTTTAACAGATACAGAAAAACAATATGCGCAGATTGAAAAAGAGTGTTTGGCTATCATGACAAGTATGAAGAAGTGGCATCAGTATCTCTTTGGTAAACATGACATTATGCAAGAAGGAAAACCAGTTTGTTTTACGTCACACACTTTAACAGATACAGAAAAACAATATGCGCAGATTGAAAAAGAGTGTTTGGCTATCATGACAAGTATGAAGAAGTGGCATCAGTATCTCTTTGGTAAACATGACATTATGCAAGAAGGAAAACCAGTTTGTTTTACGTCACACACTTTAACAGATACAGAAAAACAATATGCGCAGATTGAAAAAGAGTGTTTGGCTATCATGACAAGTATGAAGAAGTGGCATCAGTATCTCTTTGGTAAACATGACATTATGCAAGAAGGAAAACCAGTTTGTTTTACGTCACACACTTTAACAGATACAGAAAAACAATATGCGCAGATTGAAAAAGAGTGTTTGGCTATCATGACAAGTATGAAGAAGTGGCATCAGTATCTCTTTGGTAAACATGACATTATGCAAGAAGGAAAACCAGTTTGTTTTACGTCACACACTTTAACAGATACAGAAAAACAATATGCGCAGATTGAAAAAGAGTGTTTGGCTATCATGACAAGTATGAAGAAGTGGCATCAGTATCTCTTTGGTAAACATGACATTATTGTGCAAACGGACCATCAACCTTTAGAAACAATTTTTAAAAAGCCACTTAGTAAGGCACCTCGAAGACTTCAACGGATGATGCTTCAACTACAGCAGTATAACTTTGAAGTTGTGTATAAAAGAGGGAAAGAACTTTATGTTGCAGATACTTTGTCACGGGCAGCATTAAAAGAAAATTGTGCGGTGGAGTTGGAGTCAGAAATGGTATTTCGAGTTGAGCTGGAGCAGATGGGTTTAAAACCTGCCATGATGTCAGACTGTACATTAAATAGAATGAAAGAAGAGACCAGAAAAGACCAAACATTGAAGTGTTTGTTGGAAACGGTACGAAAAGGATGGCCATCAGATAAATTAATGGTTCCACCGTGTATCAAACAGTATTGGTTTTTTCGAGAAGAAATTACGCTTTACGAAGGGGTTCTTTTGAAGACGCATCAAGTGATTGTACCAACAGTGTTGAGGAAAGAAATGTTGGAAAAGATTCACAAGTCTCACCAAGGTGCTGTCAGTAGTATACGTCGAGCTTGAGAAGCACTGTTTTGGCCCGGAATGTCAGCTAATATTCGTCAAATGTCTGAAGCTTGCGGAATTTGTGCTCAATTCCAAACGGAACAACCGAGAGAGCCTATGAAATCGCATGAGATTCCTAAGTTACCCTGGTCAAGAATAAGTGTGGATTTATTTCAATTAGCTGGTAAGAACTATTTGGTTATGGTTGATCATTATAGTGACTTCATTGAACTTGATCACTTGAAAAACACTACGGCTAATTCTGTAATTAAGGTGATGAAAAACAACTTTGCAAGGCATGGAATTCCAAGTGAATGCGTTAGTGACAATGGTCCTCAATTTGACAGTTCGGAATACAGATCTTTTGCGAGAGAATATGGTTTTACAACGGTTAAGTCGTCTCCGTATTATAGTCAAGGGAATGGTTAAGCAGAATCGGCGGTGAAGGTTGCCAAGAACATATTAAAAAAATCGGGCAACGAAGATCCTTACTTGGCATTATTAGCTTATCGCAATACTCCGCAACAAGGATACGTATATTCTCCAGCTGAAAGATTAATGGCACGGAAACTAAAAGATATTGTTCCAATGGTACCGTCACAGTTAAAACCACGATTAGTTGACAGCAAAATTGTAAGAGAGGACATAATGAAGAGAAGAATTCAATCAAAGATTCAGTATGATAAAAAAGCGTCACGTCCATTGAAAGATTTAGCCGTTGATGATCGTGTTTACGTGAAGCCTAGGCAAAAGTATAAGCCTTGGATTTATGGGAAAGTCATCGAAAGGCCTGATGAAAGGACGTGTGTTATGCAAACGCCATTAGGATTAGTTCGCCGAAATCGGAAGCATCTCAGAAAGATTAAAGGGGAAAGTTCAGAACATCAAGTACGTGATGAACAATTCATGGATATTGTTTCTTTACCGGATATTGATAGTGACGTGACTAGTAGCAACAACAACACGGTTGATCCTGATGAAGAAGGGCTGGAAATGCAGAACAGGTATCCGGAGAAGATCCCGTGTCATTAAGAAGATCTGAGAGAGTTCGCAGACCACCATTAAGATATCTGGACTATACAGTATAATAAGATCAAGGTATCAGGACTATACAGTATAATAGGATCAATCATTAAATCATGAAAACTATATTGTCCTATATAAATTGACTTTTGGATTGAAGCTTTAAATAACTGAAAAAATAAAAATTCTGCATTCATTTAGTTAGAGTTAATGAACTTTACTTGTAAGAACAACATGACTATAGTTAATTATTTTAATTGTTTTTTCGTAAGGAGAAAGATGTTAATAGTTACTTATGTTGCATGCTAATTAGGTTTTATTATTATAATTATAAGGAACATGTTTGTGCTATATGCAAATTATCTCTAGGTATTATATAAGGACCTTGCTTGTAAATAGATTCTTTATGTTATTAAACTCATACACAACTTAACAGTATATAATGTCTATTTTTGCATTAAATTAAGAGTGATGACCAATATTGTATGTTGTTTACGATTATATAGATTCTAGAATTTCCTATAGGATTATTTTTCTATAGGAATTTGGGACAAAATTCCTATAGGAATTTTTCCTATATATTAACCTGTAGGTCATCATATTTTAGGAAACTTGGCTCTGTTTTATTACAATCTCAAAATTGACATAACTTTAACTGATTACCTGCAAGTATACATCACTGATGTAATCAAATATACATCACTGATGTATTCAAATTTACTGCAAGCCATATTTGTATCTAAAACAGCTAAACAACTAGAAAGATCTCTTGTTGTAATAGCACAGTAGCCCAACAATTGGTGCAAAATACTTTATCGATTCATTTATTAATGAGTAACCCAATTTTCAACTCTATTCAAAGTAGCATTGTATATATATATTTAACTATTTTTATATTTATTATTTCTAACTATTTATTTAACTATTTATATTAACTATTGTAAACTTTTCTCTCTGATTTCATCAAATATTGTAGATGTATTTACTAAAAGTTTAATTAACGAAGCTCTGAAGTGGGACATAAGAGATAACACCCATAAAGCACCAAAGGATAGGACAAGCAAACACTAGTCAGACCTTATCAAGTGCATCCAGGAATGTGGTGTTTCATTCAATGTGTGGGAGAAACTGAATGCAGATGGAAAAGGAAGTGGGGTACATGACTTTACAAGTTTGATGGGTTCAGACAAGAAGTTATTGATGAAGCATCTCCCTGACAAATTGAATGGCATAATTTATCAAGCCAAAAAACTGTGACTCTGTTGTCAAGATCTGGGGGGTGATAAAAGTGCATTGCAAAGCCAACTAGCAACTAGTTGTTCAGCACTTACATATTATTATAATATATGTAAGCGCTGAACGAATTCCTTAATTTATGGGACTTTGACAAGATTTATCGAATGATGAATGAGTGTGATCCATCACCTGATAGAATTGAAGAATTCTTTGAACTGGTTAGTGCCATACAAAATACTATCATGTGTATTGCAAGAGCCTGTCATTTTCTTTGATTAACCCTGATTTTGTTACCAAGAATGCCTTTGAGAAAAAGCAATGAAAACTCAAAAGAATTGTTGGTAGACAAATTGAGGGTTAATTCATAAAATTGTCTACCATAAATTTCAACACAGTGTAACAATATATTGTACAACAAAATTTACATTTAAAAATCAAAATTTACATTATTTTATACCGGGCAAGTGTGCATGGGGTAAACGTTTTGTTTCTCTTGGTGGTGAAGTTAGTGGATTTGAAAAGCAACATGTCGCACCACATATGCACTGCTTAATGTACCATGTCCCAAACTTTATGCTGGTATACAAAATTTTACAGGGCAAGGTAATTATAATCCTAAGTTCAAATCACACTTATACTATGTTCTTTAATATCAATTATATGAGTTCCTTCTTTTTGTGTGTACAAAGGGGTGGAGAAAAATAATGATGTCAGAAATTTCACCTGATAAAGTCTAACAAAGGGATGCACCCAAATATATGTTGCTTGTTAGCAAACAACTGCAATTCACCAGTCAACATGAGTGAGAACCAAGGGCAAATACGAAGAGAAATGGCGAATACTGGTCAACTGAGATCAAAGAAGCAAAAAGCAAATGAAGAAATTTTTTGACACCCCATGTCCAGAATCACAAGCTAACAATCCAGAACATAGATGGCAAACCTTCTTTTAATAAATCTTCTTTTATCTTCTTTTAATAATAAAAGAAGATTTTGATTTCGAAGGAAATTCTTCTTTTATCTTCTTTTATTCTCAAGGAATTTCTAATATAAAAATATTGAAATTATATTTAAAAATTCAGTCAATTTAGCTGTATTTATTCAAAAATACTTTTTAAAAACGCAGGAAATGCAGTCTTAAGCATTCAGTATTGCAAATTTTTTTCGAAGAAACAATGTGATATTCCTTAACCCAAAAATATGAAATTTAAGGAAATTTTTTACTAAATCTGAGGAATTTTTTACCGAGAATCTAAGGAATTCACGCAATCGGAAATGAGAGCACTGGCTGTATGTGGCTAAACATGGCATCAATGCATCATGGAAATTGACGAAATTCACTCTTGCTTGGAAGGTAAATAATTTACATACACTGTATTTTGTTTAATTTATTTAATTAGTGAATAACAGTGGCAACTGGAGTACAAAACTACAAATAGTCTAATCATATTATCATAATTCATACATATATTAATATTAATATTATTCATTTATTCATTATTTCATTCTGCTTGATAACATTTGCAGTAATAATAATATTGACTATTGACAGTAATAGTATTGAGTAATGTAATCCAGTACTGCAGTTTGTAAACTGTAATGCTGTTGTCATTAGTCAGTGCTTACACAAAACATTAGCAGATCTATGTAGTATCTATTCTATTTATTATTTTATTGACTATTGGAATATATTTTTGTATATTTTTCTTTATTTATGAAGATGTCTCTGACCAGTCTGATGGTGAGAACATTCACATCACTCAGTTGGACATAGAGGATCAAAATGTTGCAACTACAGCTTCTACAAGTCTGTCAAGTCCCGATGACAACTTGGGAATAAAGCGAGGCCACCCAGTACACAATGTATGGAGCTATGCATTTGATGACCCTGATGCACACACTTCAAGTAAGCCAAATCACGCTGTTTGCAAACACTGCAAAGAATCGGTTAGACATCACCATAAAGTATTGTCTGTCAAAACACATCTGAAAAGATGCAAAAAATTCAAGAAACTTATGTTAGACACAGCTGTTGTTGACCGTCCAGGATGGTGGAATGACCCTGCCAGCAAGAGTAAGAAGTCAAATGCTTCTAAGTCTTCTACAAGCAATCCAAGCAAATCCTCACCAGGAACACAACCTTCGGCAAGATCATTTGCAGTTCCAATGTTCACCACCTCACAACAAAAGAAGTTCAACCGAGATATTGCAATGTTTTTCTACAACACAGACACAAGTTTTCAACGAATTGAAGATCCATTTCTGGCATCAGCTGTTCAACTAGCACGTCCTGGAGTAAAATTACCCACCAGGAAGGAACTAGCAGATGATAGTCCTGGTGGACTACTTCAACAATCCTATGAAGAGGTCAAACATAAAGTTGATAAATTGCTGTCCAACCCCAATCAGTTCATTGGTATCACCACTGATGCCTGGTCGAACATCTCAAATGAGTCAGTTATCAACTACATGGCTGTCTGTCCCACTAAATCACTGTTCATCGAATCAGTTTACACAGGAGAGCAAGGTCATGATGCGCAATGGTTGTCCCAAGATCTCAGCCGTGTTATAGATCATCTTGGAGATAATGTAGCTGGTGCAGTGACAGACAATACATCAGCGAACAAGAAAATGTGGAGCATCTTGGAACGAGAGTATCCTACACATTTTTTCCATGGTTGTGTTGCTCATGGGCTTAATCTTCTCGTTAAAGATATCTTATGTGCCAAGAAGAAAGAACCACCTGGTGGTGGCCCAGCTGCATACCCAGATGGTTATCCTTTTGAAGATCTCATGGTGTTTGCTAATGATTGCAAAGAAGTGGTCATGTTTTTTCACAATCATCATGGGGTGAAGGCAAGATTGAAAAAGGCATTAGCTTCAGCAAAGTTGTCAAGTCTGGTAAAGCCAGCCCCAACTCGATGGGGTACCATACACGGTTGTTTCAAATCGTTGAAAGCAGCTGATGATATTCTGAATTCTCTGGTATCTGAAAGAGATTTTGTGAACAAAGGGAGTGCCAAACAAAAGGACAAACGTCTGGAGATCAAAGCAATTGTTACGGATCCAGATTTTGTCAGAAACCTTGATG